CCAGCGCTTCCGAGCGGCAGCGGAGAAGCCCTCCCCCGAGGCCGCTAAGCGCTGGCCGCGAAAATGCCGGCCAGCGCTTCCAAGTGGCGGCGAAGGAGCACCCGCCGGGGGCCTATGGGGAAAAAATCGCAAAGCGATTGCAAAAAATGAATCGCTATGCGGATTCTTCGTTAAATGGGGCGCTCGTTATGCGAGGCACCACTGTATTTCCAAGTGCTCCATACAGAGCACGTTACCATAGTCTTTCGAGACTTAAGGATGACTAACTAACTAGGCTGGGCGGCAGGGGGAGGTCCAGACCAGGGAATGGGGGGTGGCCGGTGTAGCATTCAGCGCTGCCCTCTCCTGTCCGTCACAGCTGGGCAGTGGAACATCAGCCAATGAGGGGACGGAAGGTGGTGCAGAAGGGGGAGGAGCTGGAATATATAAAGGGGTTTGTGATGTAAGGAGAGAGAGATGTTGTGAGAGTTAGTGATGAGTCTGTCTCTGGGCCTGTGAGCCCAATAGTCAGTGAGGGAAGAGTCTGTGTGTGGCAGTGAGTGAGAGACCTTGATTAACATTTTGTGATTTACTTTATTTTGTTAAACCAATAAACCACGTTTTTGTTTTGAAACAACACTTTTTAAAAAATATTGGATAAAATTGGTGGCAGCAACTGAAGAAGAAGAGTGAGCACTCCTGGAGGCCTGAGTAGGGAGAGGCTTCAGCGTGCCCGCTACAGCCGGGCTCCCACCTCTTCTCTGAGCATCTTCAATAACTGGACTTCGTACTCCAGGCGCCGGAGACGGACGTCCCGCTGCTCCACTTCAGAGATTAATGTCTCCTTGGCCCGCTGGAGTTTGGCCCTGTGCCGCAGCTTCCTCTCGTGGTTCTTTCTAAGATGGCAGAAGGCTTTCAGAAAATGCTCAGGACCGAACCAACCGCAGATGGTATTTACTATTCAGGGGAATGAGTCTGTTCCATTAATGGGTCAAATGCTTCAGTTAATTATTTCAGAACTTGGGGGGAGGATTTTGGTCCTCCCGAGAGAGGGCCTCCCTCCTTCTCCATCCTCATGGATGTCACCAAGGTTGTCCAGTCACCCCCCAGCCCAGCCCGCTGGGCTTCTCGGCTGTTTCGGACAGAAGCCCTTCCTTGTCTAGCCCGGCCTCACCTGACCAAGATGTCCACCTCCTTCAGGATCTGCAGGTGCTCCTCATGGAGGGTGTCCTTGTCCTTCTGCAAAGCCAAAACCTGCTTTGAGAGCGTCTGGTTGTATTTCAGGCAGTGGAGATGCTGTGGGAAAAGATTTGGGAGGCTTAGGGCAGTCGCTTTGGATGGAGCAGAGCTATTTTGGCTGATCCAGGGAGGGAGAAGACGGGAAGAAGGGACCAACTACAGGCAGCCCCTTCAACTCCCTGGGAAATCCAGAGGGTTCAACAAAGAGATCTTAACTGGCCCTCCTTGCTATCTCAGCGCCAAGGCAGACGTCTGGGTGGATGCTGTGACCCAGACTCCTTCCTGTGCCCCCCCCAGCCCTTCAGCGTGGGATAGACCATCTTTTCCTGATCCTGGCTGCCCAACCCTACCCAAGGATATTCCATCTTCTGGCCGATCAGCAGGGTCTCTCCTAATCTCTCTCCCCCCCCCAATTCCCTGGGCCCTCTGCTACACCACAGAATCCTGGCATCCTGGAGTCGGGAGGGGCCTCAAAGGCCATCGGGTCCAACCCCTGCTCAAGGCAAGGAATCCAAACCCAAGGATACCCGCCCGGGGGGTGTCTAAACGTGTCTTGAAGGCCTCTCCAGGGTTGGAGCACTGCTCACCCCCTCCCGAGGTCATGGGTCCTGTTGTCATACTGCTCTATCAGTGAGGAGGTTTTTTTCCCTGATCTTCAGCCTAAATCTGGCTTCCTGCCACTGGAGCCCACAATGACATGTCCTGCGCAATATCAGTCCAGTATTGTTGTGGTTCTGGGCGGTCAGGTCATGACCGACTTAGGGCGACCCTAACAGGGCTTTCAAGGTCAGGGAGACCTTTAAGGGGTACATCGTTTTAAGCAGTTCCACATCCCCAGTGACTTTCCTTGGCAGAGTGGGGATTTGAACCCTGGTGTCTCCAGGAACCTAGTCCTTCACTCTACCCACTACACCACGCTAGGTCTCGTCTATAACAGGAGGCCTCTTCCCATTTCATTTTTTCTTCTTCGGATAAAGAGAGCATTTTGTTTCTGTTCTGAAGGAAGTTGAGTTCTCTGACCAAACAAAGGACGGGATTTTGAGGGAAGGCCCACTGGCCGGGCAACCGCAAGGAACCAGGCCATGCAGGTCATCCCTAGGAGGAGGATGGAGACTTCGAAGCCCCTGCCTCAGGCGGCAGGGCAGGGAGGGGTGGCTAACACCCCTCCACCAGCATGTTCACCAGGTGCCTCCCGTGACACACGGGCTGCTCCCAGGGGTCTGGCCCACCTCATTGGAGAGCGTCCTCTTGTCTTCCTCCAAGACGCGCAGCCGGGCCTCCAGCTCCTGAGACTGGGCCTGGCCCTCCGCGCAGGTCCTCGTGAGCTGCGTCTCTTTCTCCCGGGCGAACTTGAGCTCCTGGTGAAGCTCTTCTGCCTGCTGTTCCAGGAACATCCTGGTGAGAAAGGCCATGCCCGTGAGGAGAAAAAAACGAGAAGGAAGGCGCCCGCCTTCCACCCAGCTCACAAAGGGCGCATGGGAGAAGCTGATGGGCGGCTGGAATATTTTCCCTCACATACACACACACGCACACGCACACGCACAGACAGAGAGAGAGAGAGAGTTTTGGATGGGTACTAAATGGCACTGAGGTGGCAGTGGGGAAGGTTTCCCAAACCTAAAAGAAAAATCTCAGCCCTCCCCGCCATGAACAGGGAGCAAGTAAGACACGTCAATGGTTAGCAAGGAGGGGGCCTTGCAGCGTTGGCTCCTTGCTGCGGGGCTAAAACCTGACACCAACACACTGCATCGGGGATACAGCCAACAGCCTTTTGGGGGGGACAAAGCGGGGAGTTCATTGGGAAGAAAGGGGGGAGAGGCGTCGTCTGTGCGAATCCCAGCATCGGGGCGAGGGGGCCTGAGCCACGCACAGAAGGGGAAGAAGCTCATGGTCGCATTCATAGTGTCACTGCTTGGGGAGTGTTGTGCAAGCTTGCCTTTGTGGGGGCCTGCCCTGAATGTGTGGGGGCACCCCGGTTGGATAGGGGAGGGCAGGGCAAGCTCATGAGCCCAAGTCATAGTCCACGATGGTGGTCCAGGGGAGGACCATTCCTGCCATGGGCTGTTGTGCACAGCATTTTCAACCCGACACCACTCCAACACCACATGGGGGGGCTGGCTCTCTCCTCCGGTTGCCCAAAAGTCTTTCCCTTCTAGGCACAAACATGCTGGAAGCAAAAGGATCGATTCACGCCACGTGAACCTGCAAGCTGTAGCAGAACGAGTGATGGTCGAAGGCTTTTGGCCCCTTCTTGCCTTTTCTAAGCGACTCCTGGCCGATCAACCCTGGCGACACTCAGTTTCTCCTCCCACCTTCTTCTTGCAAATCGGCAGACCCGCAGACAATGACAGAGCCACGGAAGCAGCACAAGGGGTTTCTGTACCTAAGTTTAGGGGCTCTCTGCCCTGCCGCCTCCCTGAAAGGATTTCCTGAAGCCATTCAATGTTCTGCTTTTAATCTATCAATGTGTCTCCGGATCATGACCTGTTTAGTTCCCTTAAGCTCAGCACTCGGCAGCAGCACGCGGGTAAGGAAAAAAATACAGTGGTGCCTCACTAGATTATGATAATCCGTTCCACTGAAATCGTTGTATAGCAAAATCATTGTCTAGCGAAAAGCATTTCCCCATTGGAATGTATTGAAACCTTTTTAATGTGTTCCAATGGGGAAGAATCGTCGTAGTCTAGCGAAGATTGGCCATAGGAAAGCCGCGTTGCGAACCACCGATCAGCTGTTTAAATCGCTGTCTTGCGAAGCTTAGGTCCCGAAAATACCTGTTTTGCGAGTGCGGAAGGAGCTCCCAAAATCGTTGTCTAGCAAAAATCAGTTTGCGAAGCAGGGACCAAACATTGTCCAGCGAAATTCCCCCATAGGAAACACTGTTTTGCGAATCGCTATAGCAATCACAAAAAGTCAATATCTAGCGAAAAAACTGTCATGCGGGGTAACTGTCTAGCGAGGCACCACTGTACATGTTAAATAGCCAGGCTTTTTCCCCTCCAATTTGTGGAAGGGCAGGGAAGGCCGGGCTACAGCGAATTACTCCACCTTTTCTGCTGCTCCTCCTGAAATTGCTGCTGGGCCCTAGCTTGTTTCTCGTTGGCCTCCTTCACTTCTTCCTCCAGCTGCTTCGTCCCCAAGAGATGCATCTCTTGGGAGTCCTTCAGCTTCTGTTGCAGCTCCACAATCTGGAAAGGAGAGAGAGAGAGATTATTGAACAGGACAGCAGGAAGGTTCATATGACGTTTCACGATTCCCGCAGAGGAGTAGGTGGATGGGGCGCTTCTCTTACAGACGGAAAAGGAAAGCCGCCGTGTGGGTCCTGCATGGACGTGAGACGGCTCTCTCTACCTTGTACTGGTTTGAGGGCTTCCACTCCCATCCTTTGGCCATAATGTTGAGGGAAGGCCCACTGGCCGGGAGACCGCAAGGAACCAGGCCGTGCAGGTCATCCCTAGGAGGAGGATGGAGACTTTGAAGCCGCTGCCTCAGGCGGCAGGGCAGGGAGGGGGACGGCTAATGCCCGGCCACCAACTTCTTGACCAGGTCCCTCCCGTGAGACATGGGCTGCTCCCGGGGATCTGGCCCACCTCGTTGGAGAGCATCCTCTTGTCTTCCTCCAAGATGCGCAGCCGGGCCTCCAGCTCCAGCGACTGGACCTGGCCCTCCGCGCAGGTCCTTGTGAGCTGCGTCTCCTTCTCCCTTGCGAATTTGAGCTCCTGGTGAAGCTCTTCTGCCCGCTGTTCTAGGAACGTCCTGGAGAGTAAGGCCATGCCCGTGAGGAACAAAAAGGAGAAGGAAGGTGCCCGCCTCCCGCTCAGCTCAACGGTTAGCAACGAGGGGGCCTTGCAGCGTTGGCTCCTTGCTGCGGGGCTAAAACCTGACACCAACACACTGCATCTGGGGTACAGCCAACAGCCTTTTTTGGGGGGGACAAAGCCAGGAGTTCATTGGGAAAAAAGGGGGGAGAGGCATCATCTGTACGAATCCCAGCGTCGGGGAGAGGAGGACAGAGCCACGGACAGAATGGGAAGAAGCTCATGGTCACATTCACGTTGTCGACACTTGGGGAGCGCCAAGCAAGCTTGCCTTTGTGGGGGCCTGCCCTGAGCTCATGGTTCACGTTGTCGACACTTGGGGAGCACCAAGCAATCTTGCCTTTGTGGGTGCCTGCCCTGAATGTGTGGGGGCACTCCGGTTGGATAGGGGAGGGCAGGGCAAGCTCATGACATGAGGCCATAGTCCACGATGGTGGTCCAGGGGAGGACCATTCCTGCCATGGGCTGTTGTGCACAATGTCTTCAACCCAACACCATTCCAACACCACATTTGGGGGTGGGGTGGCTCTCTTCTCCGGTTGCCAAAAAGTCTTTTCCTCCTAGCCACAGACGTGCTGGAAGATAAAAGGAGCGACCCGTGCCATATGAACCTGCAGGTGGTGGCAGACCGAGCGATGGCCAAAGGCTCTTGACCCCTTCTTGCCTTTTCGTAGCGACTCCTGGCTGATCAACCTTTGAGACACTCAGTTTCTCCCCCCACCTTATTCTTACAAATCGGCAGAACCACAGACGGTGACAGAGCCACAGAAGCAGCACAAGGGGTTTCTCTACCTAAGTTTAGGGCCTCTCTGCCCTGCCGCCTCCCTGAAAGCATTTCCTGAAGCCATTCAATGTTCTGCTTTAAATCTGTCACACATCACCGGATCATGACCTGTTTAGTTCCCCTAAGCTCAGCACTCGACAGCGGCACGCGGGTAAGGAAAAAAGATAAATCTAAAATGCCCAGGCTTTGTTTTCTCCACTTTGTGGAAGGGAAAGCCAGGCTGGAGCGAATTACTCCACCTTTTCTGCTGCTCCTCCTGAAACTGCTGCTGGGTCCTGGTCTGTTTTTCTTCGGCCTCCTTCAGTTCTTCCTCCAGCTGCTTCTTCCCCAAGAGATGCATCTGTTGGGAGTCCTTCAGCTTCTGTTGCAGCTCCACAATCTGGAAAGGAGAGAGAGAGAGATTATTGAACAGGACAGCAGGAAGGTTCATATGACGTTTCACGATTCCCGCAGAGGAGTAGGTGGA